ATGATATTGGCCCCAGCAAAGGATGTTGCAAGAGGATTTTGTCTAAAGTTTGTCCTTCTGCTAATTTCTCCTGACATTTTGGAGTATCCTGCACCCCATCCCCCTCTACTGTTGATTGCTGCAATACATTTACAAAAAGATATCCCATATTCCATTGGTGGTCAACTTTTATGATATGGGGTGGCCTCAAGTGTGGACCTCAATCTCACCAAAGAACTGTACATAAAATTCACTGAGTATTCAGTGTCAGAGACAGCAGACACAAAGCAAGATATAGTCAGAGACTAATGACCCGACAAAAGAGATAGGCAGGGACTGTGGGAATAATATAGCAGATGGTCAGAGACTGCAGACATGATACAAGAGATGGTCAGAGACTGTAGACATGGTACAGGAGATGGTCAGAGACTGCAGACATGGTACAAAAGATGGTCAGAGACTGCAGACATGATACAAGAGATGGTCAGAGACTGTAGACATGGTACAAAAGATGGTCAGAGACTGCAGACATGATACAAGAGATGGTCAGAGACGAGGCCGAAGACATACTACCAGGGGCGGACTGTCAACTCATGGAGCCCCTGGGCAATAGGAAATCATGAGGCCCCTGTGTCCTTGCCCACACTCAAACCACATCCAAAAAAGCCTATGAAAGTTACCAGGGGCATCTCATGGGACCCCCTACTGACCCCGGGCTCTTGGGCTAAATGGTCAGTCCGCCCCTGCATACTACAGTAGATGGTCAGAGATGTCAGACATACTACAGGAGAGGGTCAGAGACTTCAAACATACTACAGGAGAGGGTCAGAGACTGCAGATATTATACAGGAGATGTCAGAAATTGCAGACATACTACAGGAGATGGTCAGAGACTGCAGAAATACTACAGGAGAAGGTTATAGACTGCAGGTATGAAACAGGAGATGGTCAGAGACTGCAGACATACTACAGGAGAGGGTCAGAGACTGCAGACATGATACATGAGAGGGTTAGAGACTGCAGATATGATACAGGAGATGGTCAGAGACTGCGGACATGATACAGGAGATGGCCAGAGACTGCAGACATACTACAGGAGAGGGTCATAGACTGCAGACATGATACAGGAGATGGTCAGAGACTGCAGAAGCAGTACAGGAGATGGTCAGAGACTGAAGACATGATACAAGAGATGGTCAGAGACTGCAGACAGGAGATGGTCTGAGACTGCAGACATGATACAGGAGATGGTCAGTGACTGAAGACATGATACAAGAGATGATCTGAGACTGGGGACTAGAAAACATGGATTAGTGCCTACAGAGTCCCAAGGGCTGCACCAAAAGTTCCAAAGAGCCACAGGTTGGGCACCAGAGCCCTAGACTGAGTCTGTATCTTCAGTGTGCATGGAGCTATGTTTGGGTCTGGCAGCCTCTGAACTAACAGAGACCTGGTCCTTCTAAGCAGGGATAGCACTACACTCCTATCCAGCGTTGTATTTATTTCTTGTGCTGCCCCAGGCATCACCCACCACTGCCGCCCACCACAAACAGCCCCCTCGCCGCCACCACCCTTCGCAACCACCCAATTCAATCACTGACCTTAACCTTAGAGCTTCATCCTCCCATGGTCACTTGTGTCACTTCTTCCGCCCCCCTGAAAATTGCCGCCCCAGGCGAACACCTCGTATGGCTTGCACTAAACACACCGCTGCTCATATCCATAGAAGGGAACCTGCCTATTAGTATGGACATGTCTTGTTATGTCAGTATTTTATCTCCCTATAACAGAAGAAATGTGAGCTTGGTATTATGAAGGCTGATCTGTCTCCTACCTGATCTCAGGACCGATAAAGTACATTTTCCAGACTGCCAGAGGAATAAAACCTTTATTTATTTATTTTTTTTGCTCATGTCCCCATAGGAGCACCTTTTCATATGACAGTTGTTGAGTGTTTATCAGCACCGAGCTCATTTAGAGGATGGGATTGCTTTATAACGTGACATTTCTCCTCCGACAAGGACAGAGTGCAAGAAATAATCAACAATCGGATTCTAGAAGGTGAGGCTGCCCTATTGTAACCTATCAAGAGTGAAGATTGAGATTATTCCTGGCATCCATTGATGACCGTCTGAAAAACAAACAGATTCTAAAGAACAACATTTTAACTTGTGTAGCCCTACCCCCTTAGGAGTCACTGAGTTTTGGGTTCCTCTGCAGCTCTGCATAGACAGGCAACAAGCATGTTCTTCCACATCTGCACACTGGAGACAGTAAACAATCCTCGAGCTTGGTTTCGATGATTTTATTAAAGTAGTTTAGAACTTTGATGGGGTTGAGGGGTGTATGGGATGTCCAAGGAAACTGTGAACTATGAGGACAAACTCCTTAGCAACTATGTACAAGTCCGTGTACAAAAAGTCTCTTCTTTGCAGCAGGGGCGGACTGACCATTTGGAAACTTGGGCACTGCCCGAGGGCCCGGGGTCAGTAAGGGGCTCCATGACATGCCCCTGGTACCTTTTTCATAGGCTTTTATTGAGTTTGGGCAAGGACACAGGGGCCCCATGATCCCCTATTGCTCGGAGGCCCCATGAGTTGTCAGTCCGCCCCTGCTTTGAAGAGCTCTCCAACTCTCTGGTGTACCTCCTCAGACCCCAGATAAATCCTACTCTTCACCCAGCTGCCTGTGGGTATCTCTGGGCAAGGGGAACCAGAAACTGCCAACTTAAGAAACAGTCTCAGATGAGGAGCTAGCTGGGTTCTCCACCTGATTGCCCTCTCCCCTTATCCGGCCCAGTGGGTGTAAGGTTAGTCACACTGTCTTTCTGGCTAGCTTAATGGGTAGGTGGCTGCCTCTAGGCCTTTCACTGGGCTTGCTCATTCTCTGCTGTTCAGGTTACCCTTCTGGAAGACAGTGGCACAGTGGAGACTCCTTTGTCCAGCACCAGCCTGTAGGTGGGCCCCTTCCCAGACTCCACACTCCAGCCTTCATTCCATCTTCCACCCGACACTACTTCCTGATCAGGCTCCCTCATACTTTTTGGGCTGTCCTGGCTCCATGTCAAGCCTCCTGCTTGTGGATTGGCTAAGATCCCTTAAGTATGCAGATCAGCCTCTCCTCACCCCCACCCACTGCCTTCTAGAGACTTCTCCAGCTTCTAGAGCAGGGGTTAAAAAATTTAGAGTCCAGACCTACTAGTCGGTACAAAACTTACTCTCCACCAGTTGCCATACCCAACCTTGCCCAGGTCTGCCCCCAACCCCCCCGGTCTGCCCCCAACCCCACCCCGCCCCACCCCCAACCACACCCCCTTAAAGCTTATGAAATTAAATTTTTCTTTAGAATATATAGTCCAAAATATAAAACTGTACACAGTAATGTATATCCCAGCTCCCCTGTACTTCATTGTTGTATACAGTGCTTACTGTCCCCCCGAGTCCCCCACGGTGGTGGAGAGGGTGTCTCCTCTCAGTGGAGGGGAGCGGACCTCTCCTGCACCTGTCCTCTCGGCAGCGGTGCCGCAGAAGCCGGAAACCGGAAACCGTTGTAAACCAGAACTCGGCTTCACAATGAGGCTTGGAGTGCAGCTGCAGTCGCTCCATGCTTCATCTGTGCTCACCGCTCGCTACAGAGGAAATTCTCTTCGCATTTGGCGAGCGGGCGAGCGGCTTTTTCAAGCCCTGTTCTAGAGCAGGGGGAGGTATCGGGAACTGACCCACAAAGCCCTCAGCCCGGACCCAAAAGGCTGACTCACTCATACCCAGGCTGATTCATCCCAGGCTGCTACTCAGCCTCCACTCAAAAACCTAATTAGCTCCCCCTAGCTAAACTTGAGGGGTGCTACACTCCGTTATGCCTAAATGAAGTACCATTCATCAGAAATAATGTTTGTAGAAGTCCTAAATCAGATTTTTTGTTGGCTTATGGGAATCCTCAGCAAAGCAGGGCTCAGGAAGGATAGAAATGTCAACCATCTATGTACAGTCCAATGGGAGCACAAAAATTTACAAGTCCAAGGTTGATTCATAGAAAATTCAACACGTTTCAGGTGCTGAACACAGTCCCTTGTCATGATTGGGATACCTTTGAAGCATATGGAGAGAAGAGAAAGAGAAAAGGCCATGCTCCCTCTGCATCAGGGCTACACAAAGAGTAGAAGTATAGCCATCTTCTCACTGAGTGTCAGGCTTTGGGCCTTGGATTGGCTGGCGGGGGACGACATCATCCCAAGCATGTGCAGCTCAGCATTCATTCCCGGCACACTTTGGCTGTGGTTGAATGACTGACTCCTTTGCGCATGCATAGGATGACTTCATCTATCAGCAGCCAATCAAGCTGACACCCAGGGAGGAGATGATGGTAGCCAGAAAGGGATGTAACTGCCGCAGCACTGAAATGGGGAGGTTAGTTTACTGCGGGGGTTGTTCCATTTTAACTACTGCAATCATCTTACTAGAGATGAGCACGGGTTTGGTCCAAACGCCCAAAACTTAGGTTCAGACCCAGGGGTGGACTTACAACTCATGGGGCCCCCAGGCAATAGGGGATCATGGGACCCCTGTGTCCTCGCCCACACTCAAACCACACCCAAAAGAGCCTATAAAAAGGTACCAGGGGCATCTCATGGGGCCCCCTACTGACCCCGGGCCCTCGGGCAGTTCCCGGGTTCCCAAATGGTCAGTCCGCCCCTGTTTAGACCAAACCTGGAAGCAAGCTGTCACTCCCACCAAAACAGAGCTTAATCAGCAGCGGCCATGGTGTTCTCACCACACACAAATGGACATATCCCACTCTTTTGGAGCAGGAAATGTCTCGTCGTGACTATTCCGGCACTGACCTGGTAGGTGTGACAGCTTGCTTCCAGGCTCATTGATTTATGTATACTGGACATAAGCGGACTGCCAGGGAATGGGTAAAATCCAACTGCACGTTATACAAATCTCCTGGAAATCAGCAGAAAAAGTAGCTATTGTCGCAATACTGTCCTCTTCTCAGGTGCCCTCCATGCAGACTCACAGCTTTGCAATCCAGTGCCAGTCCTCTTTTGGGGTGAACAGTGGCCACCCCAGGAAAACTGCTGTCTAAATAGTGACAGTGACCACACAGTCATGCCACTTTATCACTGCACCAAGACACTTTCTGGTATTGCTGTACCAGGGGTGGACTGACCATTTGGAAACTCGGACACTGCCCCCGAGGGCCCGGGGTCAGTAGGGGGCACCATGAGATGCCCCTGGTACCTTTTTCATAGGCTTTTTTGAGTTTGGGCAAGGACACAGGGGCCCCATGATCCCCTATTGCTCGGGGGCCCCATGAGTTGTCAGTCTGCCCCTGTGCTGTACTAATATAGGGTGGTTGTCTTCCCACCCCTGGTCTTCTGTTTTGGTGAGGGTACGCCTTACCAACTTTTTTGCCTTTGTATGTCAGCATCTTTGACTTAAGGTGGTACAGTTAGGGTTGTCTCCTAACGCCTTAGGTCCTTGACCCTTCCCTTGGAGTAATATGCTATTTAGGATATGCTCTATCCTGATTATCTGATATGAAATTGCATGGCTGTCCTAGGCAACCCTACTTCTTCTTAGAGCCTTGTTTCCCTAATACCTAGGGACCCAAGTTTAAGGCTTGGCTTTTGGCAATCCTACTAGGGATATCTTGTGGAAGCATTGTCCAGATTTCATATAGAGATTTGTTTTGAGCTTGAGGAACCTTCCAGTGCCCCCTAGGTTGACCACTATTTTTGATCTGTTCTCCCCATTCGAATAGTTATATTACTCTACCTGTTGGTGGTTGCCTTGGTCTACAGCAGTGGTTCTCAACCTTCCTAATGCCGCGACCCTTTAATACAGTTCCTCATGTTGTGGTGACCCCCAACCATAAAATTATTTTCGTTGCTACTTCATAACTGTAATTTTGCTACTATTATGAATCATAATGTAAATATCTGATATGCAGGATGTACAATATTTTCATTGTCACAAATTGAACATAATTAAAGCATAGTGATTAATCACAAAAACCACAGCTGAATATAAAAAGACCGATCAGCATCCAGATTAAGTTCCCATGGTACAGATATTTTTTTTGCAGTAGTTGATTTGACAGTACATGATTTTACATTTACCTAGTAATTATAATTCATGAGTGTTGTTTTACCTCCAATACTGCTGCTTTCAACACAGTAGCTGCTCTTTACACATGTGTGACTGGTCCACATAAGTACATTATGGCGCCAACCCTGTCACATACACCTGTAATTGTACGGGGTGTATGTGATGGGGTTGGTGTGATGATGTCATCACACCGGGTACTCGTATGTGGGCGTATCTGCATGTGGGCGGACCCGCCTGGAGACGGATAGAGGAGCGGTGTCTCGGTTCCCAAGACCATCGGAAATATGTGTTTTCCGATGTTCTTAGGTGACCCCTGTGAAAGGGTCGTGCGACCCAAAGGTTGAGATCCGCTGGTCTACAGCTTCTGTTGGAACAGGCTAGGTTTCCTCCACAGTAGTCATCTAAATTGGCACCCCGGTTGACCCTGTGTAGCCCCCCCCTGAGTGGTTAGCAGTTCCTCTGCCCTGTAGGGAACTTTACCTATTTGGTACAGATTTGGGCATTGGTTCTGGTTATTGTAGATGACCAATTGTTCCGTATTGGATCAATCGGTGACTTTTGCCACCCCTCAGCTGGACTACTTTTGGATGTCTCAACTGTTACTTATTGTAAAATCTTTTTCTTGAAGTCCCTTAAGTGGCGTAGGTCTCACCCCTCCTTATTAGTTTTATGTACTGCATTGTGTATATTTCACATAGGGATCTGTTTTGAGGCTGAGGAACCTTCCAGTGTCCCCTTTGTTGACCACTATGTTTGATCTGTTCTCCCCATTCCAGTAGTTATATTACTCTACCTGTTGGTGGTTGCCTTGGTCTACAGGTTCTGTTGGAACAGACCCCGTTTCTTCCAAGGTAGTCATTAAAATTGGTACTGGGTTGATCCTGTGTAGCCTCCCCTGAGTGGTTAGCAGTTCCTTTGCACTGTAGGGAACTTTACCTTTTTGGTATAGATTTGGGCATTGGTTTTGGGTATTGTAGACTACCGCTTGTTCCGTCGTGGATCAATCGGTGGCTTTTGCCACCCCTCAGTTGGACTGCTTCTGAACGTCTTAACTGTCACTTACTGTAAAATCTTTCTCTTGAAGTCCCTTAAGGGGCATGGGTACGCCTAGGGGCGGACTGACCATTTGGTAACTCGGGCACTGCCCGAGGGCCCTAGGTCAGTAGGGGGCCCCATGAGATGCCCCTTGTACCTTTTTCATAGGCTTTTTTGGGTGTGGGTGAGGACACAGGGGTCCCATGATCCCCTATTGTCCGGGGCCCCATGAGTTGTCAGTCCGCCCCTGGGTACGCCCCTCTGTGTTTATCAGCTTTATGTACTGTATTGTCCAAATTTCATAGAGAGATCTGTTTTGAGGCTGAGGAATCTTCCAGTGTCCCCTTTGTTGACCACTATTTTTGATCTGTTCTCGCCATTCGAGTATTTATATTACTCTACCTGTTGGTGGTTTCCTTGGTCTACAGCTTCTGTTGGAACAGACTTCAATTTCTTCCAAGATAGTCATTTAAATTGGCGCCGGGTTGACCAAGTATAACCTCCCCTGAGTGGCTAGCAGTTCCTCTGCCCTGTAGGGAACTTCACCTATTTGGTACAGATTTGGATATTGGATTTGGTTGTTGCAGACGATCAGTTGTTCTGTCTTAGATTTATCGGTGGCTTTTGCCACCCCTCACTGAACTTCACGACTATTTCAGAACTCCTGTGTGCCCTGATGAACGATAAAGAAAACAAGATATTTGTGCTTCATGTAAAATCTTTTTCTTGAAATCCTTTAAGGGGCGTAGGTCTTGCCCCTTTATTGGCTTTATGTATTGCTTGCTTATAAAACAGAGGCAGAGGCATTGATGGTTAGAGGTGGGGTTACATGGGGACTTGTCTAACCCTCCTGTAGGTGGCAGTATATTCTGACTGTCTCAAAATCCCGGTGTCCCTGAAAAGACTTCAAGAAAAAGGTCCTTGGCGTCATTCTGGACTCAAACCTTTCCTTCCAACCTCATGTCAAATCACTCACAAATACATGCAGGCTCCACCTTCGCAACATCGCCAAAATACGCTCCTTCCTTACCCCAGACACCACTAAACTACTCGTTCACTCCCTGATTATCTCACGCCTTGACTACTGCAACTCCCTCCTCACCAGCCTACCCCAGTGCAAACTCTCCCCGCTTCAGACCCATCCTGAACTCAGCTGCCAGACTCATCCACCTCACCAGCCGCTCCACCTCTTGCCACCCCCCTCTGCCTCTCCCTCCACTGGCTCCCCATTGCCCAATCGCATTAAATTCAAACTGCTCACTCTGACCTATAAAGCCATTCACAACACTGCCCCTAACACTACCTCACCGACCATCTGACTACCCCAGTACCCTTCGCTCTTTCACAGGACCTCCTTCTATCTTGCTCCCTGGTCCCCTCCTCCCACGCACGACTGCAAGACTTCTCCAGGTCCTCCCCCATTCCTCTGGAACTCACTCAACTACCCAATCCATCAGACTGTTACAGCTTACTCACTCACCTTCAGGCGCTCCCTGAAAACCCACCTCTTACAGGGAAGCCTTTACCCCACCCTCACCTAACAGCCGCTGCCCTTCCCTCCTCCTACCACTTTTCCCCCCACAGCCGTTTCCTCCTGTACCTCTACCTCTACCCCCTCCCTCCTAGATTGTAAGCTCGAAAGAGTAGGGCCCTCTTACCCCTTGTGTGCTGTTTGATGTTACTGTACTGTTTCATGTATTGTCCCCCTCTCTATTGTACAGCGCTGAGCAAACCCTTTGGCGCTATATAAACTCGATAAATAAATAAATAAATAAATAAGAAAAAGCTTTTATGACAAGTAAAGTCATATTTTGCAGCTTTAGTCCTACTTTAAGACAAACATGATTACTGCTTCAGTGGATGCTGACACTTTACAATAATGAAAGGTATTACAGGTATTACTTAGCGTATACTTACAGAAGAAGCTTTATAATAACTTTTGCCTGATTTGAACTGTTAATTTTTGGGTTTGGATTGAATTTAAAGGTTTGTGATCTCTTGAAATACTGCACTGTACAGCATACAGAGGGGCAAAAAAGTATTTAGTCCCCACCAATTGTACAAGTTCTCCCACTTACAAAGATGAGAGGGCCTGTAATTGGCATCATAGGGAGACCTCAACTATGAGAGACAAAATGAGAAAACAAATCCAGACAATCACATTGGCTGATCTGGAAAGAATTTATTTGCAAATTATGGTGGAAAATAAGTATTTGGTCACCTACAAACAAGCAAGATTTCTGCTCTCACAGACCTGTACCTTCTTATTTAAGAGGCTCCTCTGTCCTGCACTCATTACCTGTATCAATGGCACCTGTTTGAACTTGTTATCAGTATAAAAGACATCTGTCCACAACCTCAAACAGTCACACTCCAAACTCCACTATGGTGAAGACCAAAGAGCTATCGAAGGACACCAGAAACAACAGCAAAGAGCACCTAGCAACTACAGTGTCTCCACAGCATCAGGGAGCTGGGGCAATTGGCTGCTCTCCCCAGCAGCAGACTGAGCTCCAGAATGCTCAGGACCATACAGCCGAAGCGCTGGCAGCTGGACCGAGAGTCAATGACCTCTGCCCTACCCCCAACTACCCCTTGCAGTTGACAATGGAAATCAGGTTGACCATCTATGTGATTTCACTCTGCCCCCAACTAACCAAAGATGTATTTCCCACTATGGTCTCCACTGGTATACCCCAGGGATGTTGGGCAGTCGGCCCAGATCCCCAACAGCATAATGGATGGAGCCCAGCCACCCTGTCTGCTCTTCAGCAGCTGAAAGGACTCCAGGGAGAAGGGCCAGTCTGCACTTCTCCACAGCGGCGGGTATGTTATACGAGAGATGCAGAGGTTGGCTGGGTGAGTAATGCTATGTTTGGCACAATGTGTTTGGGGTACTGTGTGGGTATGGGCAGTGGGGGACTGGGACTACGGACTAACGTGGAAGTCAACCCAACTGGGGTTTCCTCCAGTGTTAGTCCAATGCCGAAAGGGGAGATATGTGACGGGAGTCACTTTGGGTGGGGGGCTCATGGAACCTAGCTTACTTTGCAGATGTTGGGAGACCCCTGTCTCAGCCCCCCATATCACTCTTATGTGCAAGTCACCCCTGTGTCTCTTAGGGGCACATGGTGACTAATGGACGCTGAGAATTACTTCAGATGGGACAGTAATATTTATCAGCCATACGAAGACTATTCCGGGTGGTTGATTCTGAACTAGACACGTGAATTGAAAGAGCCGATCACACCGGCCTCTCTTCTACTGCAGTGTAGGAGCCGGACCGTCTGCTCTGTAGTGAGATCCTAATTCATCAAACCATTGTCTAGGCGTGAATTCCCATTCACCTTTTTTTTCAATCACACAGCTAGCTAACCTAATGAACTTACTGCTTAGAGTGTGAAGTCTATTTCTGTATATAGCTGTGCTTGCATACGATCATGTAATCAGTCTCAGTGTGTATTATATAAAAAGTCTGTTTGAGTTTAAAATAAAGAGTTCCATGTTCAGACAGACTGGTGTCGTCTAGTCTTGTATGGTCGGCTGTGGTGTCTGTGGTCGGTGTTCACACGGGGAGGTGGTATTCTAACGGAAGTACTCAAGCGCAGTCTGGGTCGGTTCCGTTACATTGGTGGCAGCAGTGGGATGCTTCCTGCAGTTTGGGACATCCAAACCTCCACCTGGATCCAAGGTTCGGATAGCAGGAGAGGAGAGATACAGATACCACCTGCAGCTATGGAAACGGAGGTCTTATGGTGGATGCAGCAAGTGCTGGCTTACCTAGACGATCCTGTTTCTTCACGGGACGAGCTTGGATGGAGGAATGCATCTGTCCAACAGCTGGATGAGGGTATGGAAGATTAAGCAGTCGGCTCATCCCTCCAATTACAGATCCCAGAATGTATGGATCTAATGGATTTTTCACTGGAGGATGTTATGGGTGATGAGTCACCTGCCAAAGTGCTGACACTGGGCCCAAGGGCCACCAGCCCGTGCCCTGGACATTTAGCCATTCTAGAGACTGGGGATTTGATAGAATTCTCTGCTGAGGAAAAACCACCTGGTGAGCCTCCTGCAGAAGAGCTGGCAAACATTGCTGAGCTCCACCCAGCACCAAGAGCAGTATTTGAATGGGGAATCGGTATTCTAATGCAAGTACTCAAGCGCAGTCTGGGTCGGTTCCATTACAGCTCCCACTTGGGGCAAAAGGTACAAGTGGATTGTACATTGCAGCTCTGAAAGAATGGCTCATAGAAAAATAGAGGGTTATCGGTGCTCTTTACTGATAAGCAACCTTCACTAAATTAACTAAAGAGCCACAAGTGCAATAGTGTAGCCAGAGCTGGCATCATGGAGAGTCACTATGAGGCAAAATGACAAAAATGAAGGCGCACCTGTTCATATACACACTAGTGTAGCTGCAGTGGTGTATTTAAGTTTTGTGCTGCCCTAGCCAACACCAAAATTGGCCACCGAACACCCCCCCCCCCCCCTTCCACAGAAAGAGCCTGACACCAATCAACACCACCAACCCCCTGTGAAGAGAGCCTAATATTTACCAACACCCCTGCCCCCCCCCCACCTGAGAGAGCTTTCCAATACCACTGCCCCTCATACACTGGCAACCCCCCCCCCCCCATCAAAGAGAGAGAAGACACTTACCTTCACAGCTCCAGACATCCCCAGGAAAGAGAGTCGGGCTCTGCATACACTGTCAAGCAGCCCACAGCCTCTCTCGGTTCCCATCTGGTCCCCATGCTGTATGTGTCCCTTCTTCATTCCCTTCTTCCAAGGGGCAGTGCTGCCCCCCTAAAAAATGCCACCCTAGGCAAATGCCTTGTTTGCCTTGTGGTAAATACACCCCTGTGTAGCTGACACCCCCCCCCCCCCCTTAAGTGCAAATAAATCATTTCATATAAAGAAAATAAAAACATTGGAAATCTTCACCAATAATACATATTACATCTCAAATTATTGTGAGTAAAATCCATAGCAGTCCATAGTTATAATTTATAATTCCTCCACCATACATGTGATATATATAATCCTCCAATCGTGCCAACACAGATCACCGACCGCTGTGAAAAGTGCGCACTCACCATCAATCCAATGACCTCTACGTTAATAAAGGTCTACTAGTGCTTTCAATCCATTCTCCGTGCCAGTCACATCGTAAGTCAGCAGATCTTCAGACTATCTCCCATATCTTCAAATAATAAGGCAGCACAACCT